TTACCGAAGGTGGTTGTATGACGAAATCCTCAGGATTGAATGCTGGTTTCTCCACAGTTGGAATGGGTTGTATGTTTTGTTGGTATGATTTGCGGTAAGCAGTGACGTGGTAAAATTCAGCAACTAGATCGTACAGGTCGAGGCCGTTATTCCGGATAGCAACAACTGCGTGAGAGCATGGAAATCCATTTATTTGCCACTTGAAACAGGAACATGTACGTTTGTCAACGTCAACCATGACGGATGGGAAAGAGTGGACCTCGAACACTGTATCGGTGGATTGGCTGACAAGCCATGCTCTACCTTTATTGTACGCTTTGACCAAACGAGCTTCCATTTTTGGGCAAATAACACCGGGCCACGCTTGTGCTTTTATTCTGCATTTCGCCATTTGGCGCATAATCTTAACTCGAATACTGTCAACCAATTAAGTTATTGGTAGGTGTCGTGCTTCATGTATCCATGAGTTAAACGATTCAATGGCATTGGAACTCATCTCACCGTACCGTGAACCGCTGATATTGAAGAAGTATGATATTAGTGAGGACGTAGGCAAATGGCATGAAAATGTGAAAAGCATTAAAATGGGAAATGCAGTATTAACAGAAAGCAAAAAGGAAGACTGAAAATACATACCGGAAATAAGCGTTAGCCCAAAAATGAAGGGGTAAGTCTTTTAAGAACGAGGGAACAACCTTCCGTCCACATTTGGTAAATTCCTCAACGCATTAGGTGAATGAAGACACAGTGGGTGCGTAAGCACACGCCCGGAATTTAGTCAACATTCCAGCTCGATATGAAGTGTTAACATATCGCAACTTATGCTGCAAGTTACGTTGCAAATGTTGTAGGCAGAATGCGTGGTGGGCTGTGGGAAATATGATGGGTATTGATTCCAATAAGCCTGCATGTCGGTCAGATACGAACGTAAGGGTCCTGTGACTGTTGATAACATTTGCGAGATGTCCCAAGAACCATGCCCAATTTGCGGTGTTCTCTGAATCAACAATCGCGATGGCTACAGGGAAGAGACCTAGAAAGGGATGTTGTGAGTTAAGTTTGCAAATATGTTGGTGGTATGTTTGTGAGACCAATTAACATGTGAGTGACATTGAATGTGCAAGGGAACATTATGTCAGCAATAAATAATGAAATTATAGTTGTACAACGAAAATGATATTTGTCAACATTATTACAGTACCTTGATTGCCATCCTTCGCAATAGCAGCTAGCAAATGGCCCTTGAATTTTCCCTTCAGAAAAGTCCCATCCAAGAATAGTAACGGACGACAATGATTGAACCCATCGATACATGCTTTGAATGATATGAAAAACCTTAGGAAATGGTTGTTGTGTTCATCACAGTCAATATTGACGTAACTTCCAGGGTTGTTTTCAGTGGCAACGGAACTGTACCACCGCAATTGGTCGAACGAAATGGAGTGTGCACCAAACATCTCCCCCCGAGTTTTTTCAACACCTAACCACGCAACCCAGTAGCTAACCTCTAATCCATAATCTTTTTTCAGGTCATAAACCACATCTGTGGGTCGCGTAAGTGGCTTGTCACGTACCCGTTCAGAAATAACATCGGACACTAAATCTGAACCAGCTCGCGGGTTTTTCAGTGTCCGAACAGCTACGCCACAGATGTGCTCCTTATTCCATTTGCGAAGGTAGAAAAATCCGTTAGCATGCAAAACGCGTGCGTGCACCGACCACATGCATCCCTTCGATTCCCTCATCATGCATACAGCTGTGATCCGCACAGAATCGTTTTTGACATATTTAAAACGGAAACCACATTCGACAGCATACCTGCGAAGAACACTCCGAAATTCATACGCTCCACCTTCAAAACTTTGGCCAATACATTAAATCTCGTTAGCCCATTGGGCAGACAAAAACACCTTGTCAACATGAGGGCATAATTTTGCCAATAAATCCTTTTCGTCATCCACGTCCGACTCGTCAAACACATCGGTCGGCTCACAATGACCTATCTGTAATTGGCTGTTTGCATTGTCGCTGACTTGTGCACGATGTACTTCAATTAGTACATCAACGCATTGCAATTGAAAAGACCGTGCAAGACACACCATGTTCGCCACATCAACATCATTCTGCAATATGAAATTGTTATAACTGGGCATCTTGAAGTAAAAACATGCATCGGCAGGTGTGAGCCCTTCAAACTTTTCACAAACACCACGGATGACGTCGTCAAATCGAAATGGAACTTGCAAATTAATAGTGACATTGACATTACCGTAACAACATATTAGCATAATTCCATTGTCCATCCTCCTGCGAATGTGAACATATGATTAATGAGGGGGGCAGGGACAAAAAAATAAAAATGGAAAACACTACAAAACGGGGCAAGACACACACTCGAAAGTATGACTCCCCACCCAAAGTGAAACACATGTCCCGACGTCGATCAAACAGGGCACATCCCATCGGGATAACGTGGCACTTCAGAACCAGGGTTAACAGCAAAAGAAAGAATAACACCAGTAACACACCACACACCATTAACGACGACTCCTCTAACACACAGACACCAGTAACACCATGATCGGCCAAAATCCAGAAACAACCCACATACGTTAAAACATGAAAAAAACACAGACCACAATGTAAATACGTACAATCCATATGAAAGCTGAACGACCCAAGGAGAAATAAGCATACTAGGTAAAGAATGGAGTGTACACGGCAATGTTCTGAATCTCTACGAGAATGTCACAGAGCCGTCATCAAACAAACCACGCATTCAACTACGAAAACCCTACATTCAAAAGTTTTTGAATGTATCATCAAAATTAGACAAAACGGAAGGAGCAACGTTTCCAAAAAAAGAATTGACCCCACAACGACATTGCCACATTGACCCAAGGGCACGTTCGTCCACACAGACCTACCAAAAAAGGAAAAACCAAAAAAAAGGACCAATTAAACCCACCAGCAGGACTAAGTAGTATAAAAGAAAAAAAGTGGGACTATTTGGTATAACAGATTGTGAAGTAGGATTTATTGGTAAATAATCCAATTAAAAATTCAAAGACCAAGTCGAGTGTGTGACACTCTGTCCTTAAGACAGATTCGCCTCGCTACGGTGCTTACGGTTGAGTAGCGTCTATCTCCCAGGATACAATGATCTTAACCAATTTATAGTAGCACTCCAAAACAAATTGTTCGGCGAACCAAACCTGTGTTCTAACTCTCTTTAATATTTATTCCTAAAATTATAAATGAAGAATAATGCACTAAAAGAAATCTGGACAGCAAAGAGAAAAATTTCAGACTGAATTTCCGGATCAAAATGGATTGCTGAAAATAGATAGTATTTATAGGCAAACAATTGATCCGAACAGGTACCAAAAATAAGTGAAAAGGTGCACAAAACCTTTGAATAGGTTCTGTTTGAAATTTGAATCTGTTCGTTGCAATGAACAAACTTTCAAACAAAAAGAATCCGTTGGTGGTTAATGGAACAGATAATCAAACTGTTTGGAACTTTTATAATTAAACTATTAGAATAGTTTATTCAATAAAACCTTTCACCGAATGGAATAACTTTATTAAATTATTTAAATAGTTTAATCAATTTTTAGGAAACCACTAAGGTACTAAAAATTAGAATTTAGAATTAAATTAAATTTCCACAATTACAAACTTTAGGAAACCACTTAGGAACCCAAAATTTGAATTTAGAATTAAATTAAATTCCCACAATAATTTTTATTGAAAAAAATTCAAATGAATTTTATCTAAAAAATTAATGTTAGACCCGAAAACGACGTCAATTTTCCATTCACTCATAAATGGTTTTGACGTTCCATCTTCACCGTGTGACTTGCCATGTGGCAAGGAACACGTCACCTCTTCGGACCCACCCCAAAAGACGTTCAGGGCCCACTCAATTTTGGGCTCAAAGTCGGCCCAAAATATGCCTATATAAACCAATTTTTCCCACAAAAACAACTTAAACTTGACTTATGTTTAGTTTGTTAAAAGCTTAGTTTGTTAAGTAAATAAGTCAATCTTGAACATATTTTGGAATCCTTAAAGTTTTCAAATGAAATTTGAATAGTCAATTGCTCGTTCGGTTTGATTCGATAAACCTAACACTATATAAAAATGCAACTCAACAACATCCTAATTAAAATCAACTCGAAAATTTAACATACCAAACTTAACAAATTTTAAAACTCATTAAAATTTTCAAACTAGATTTAAACAGCTAATGGTTTAAATTGGGATATAGTAAAGTGCTTGGAGATGTTGTTAGAGCATCTCCAATGATTGTTAATGTTAAAATTATAATTTTTGTATCTTACAGTAGTAAAAAATATCAAATTATAGCAATAATATTCTAATGATCACATGCCATTTTGGCACAATAGCAACTAATTTTTCCTTTTTTTTAGATGATGTTTGGACTTAATTTTTTGAGTGATTTTTTTGTTAAATTTTTTTTTTGTCTTTTGTGATCTTTTTAAAACTGCTTTTGAAAAAAAAAAAAACTATCTGTTTATGTTTTACACGAGTAGTCAAATCAAAAAAATAAAAAATTGAAAAAAAAACAGGCACTCTTCTAATTCACCCGTCATTAAGATAACTTAGAGCATCCACATCAGCCTCAGCAAATTTTGAGTCAAATTATAACCCAAAATCCACTTTTGTATTTTAGCCAACCTCTTTTTTATATACACATTCCATCAAACTCTCTATTCTAAAATTCTATTTCATTAAAATGTTATTTTTTATTCTTTCATCTTCATCAATTTAAATATATTTTTTTCCCAACTGTCATATTTTTAAAACGGCTATATTTTAACGGTCAAATTTCAACGGCTATATTCTAACGGCTATATTTTAACGGTCATATTCCAACGGTCATATTCTTTCAATATAGATAAAACCAATTGCCATCTAAATTTCATCCACATCAACCTGATTTTACTATTTCATTTTGTATTTATTTTCTCTATATGGATCTTCATTCGCTAGACGATATGATTCTTTATGACTCTAACTCCGACGATGAGTTGGAGACAATTGGGATAGTTGCTGTGGAAGAGCAACGACTAGCAGCCAATAGTTCATCAAGATCACGACGTAATTCTAATCGACACTGCAAATTCATTTGGCGCAATTCTTTGCAAGGTCACCAAAGACTCTTTCTAGATTATTTTGCTGATCCACCAGTATATCCTTCCAATATATTTTGGAGGAGGTTTCAAATGAAACGTTCTCTTTTTCTCTGTATTCAATATGCGGTAGAAGCTCATGAATCATGTTTTGTCCAGAAAAGAAATAGTGCTGGAGTGCTCGGTTTATCTTCCCTTCAGAAGATGATTGCAGCACTTAGAATCCTCACTTATGAAGTAGCAGCTGATTTTATGGATAAATGCTTGAGGATTGTAGAAAGTACCGCAATGAAGAGTCTATATTATTTTGTCAAAGCGGTGGTTGAAATTTATTCGGATCAGTATTTGAGGTCACCAAACAACAATGACATTGCTAGACTACTAGCAATTGGCAAAAGTCGTGGCTTTCCTGGAATGATGGGAAGCATTGATTGTATGTACTGGACATGGAAGAATTGCCTGGCTGCATGGAAAGGTATGTATACTGGTCACACCCATAAACCAACAATTATTTTGGAAGTAGTTGCATCATATGATCTTTGGATATGGCATGCATTTTTTGGGTTACCCAGGTCTCATAATGATATCTATATACTAGAAACTGCAAAAATCTTGTGCTACACACAAAATTAAAAATAATAAAATATTTTGGAAAATTATAATAAATTTCATCTATATTCATATTTATCTATAACAAAAAAAAAAAAAAAAAAAAAAAAAAAAAAAAAAAACTTTATTAGAGTTCTAAAATGACATTCTATTGATAAGCCTATTGAGAGCTCCAAAACAGTATACTTAATTTCTTGATTTTTTTTTTAAATTTTAAACAATTAAAAAAATTACATTAGCTAATTATTTCATGATTTATAACTTTCAAGAAGATAATATACTAATTTATTTTAAAATTCAATTGAAAAGGAAACACTTCTATGGTAAATCTCATGATTTACGATTTTGATTTGATATGATATTATTTCATATTTATCTATATGCTATGTACCTATATATATATACTAGCATATGCCCGTACCTGAAGGCACGGTGCAATTAATGATGACATTAAAATATAAATTAAAATTAGAGAGGGATGCATTCAAATTTTTTGTTTTGTTTTGTTTTGTTTTGTTTTGTTTTGTTTTTTTCTCTTTTCAAAGAGTAGGTAATGAATTCACGGAAAGGAGAAAAATCCCTAAATGAAGACATGAAACTTAAATGAAACACCAATTTATTAGTAACCCAAATAAATTTCAGGAACCCCCAAAATTAAGAACATCTATGGCTCTCACAATGATGTGGACTAATCATATATTTTTATTTTTTTTCTTTCCTTCTTGGACTAATCACAGGTGAGTAAGAGTTATAAAGTTGTATTTTTTAAGAATATGTAGCATTTTTGATATTTTTAATAAAAAAAAAATCTTCCCAAGATAAATTGCACTTCTCCCAAATTAAAACACTTCTTATCAGAACACAAATCATATTTGAAACACTTTAATCTCATTCATGCTATATTTGGTACACTGAAATGAGATGAAATTAAATGAAATGGTAATTCATTACACTTTCCTATGGAATGATCATCTCCTTATAATAGTTAATGATGACTCACATTGTAATGAATTTTTTATTATTATTTTAGTCAACAAAACATGAGAAGTGTAAGGAATGTTTGAACTTTATTACAGTGAACCAAACACTACCTAATTGATCAATTATCAGGAGTAAAGTCCTATCAATCAATCGTTGAAACTAATTGATTAAGTGATTTGATTTTCTAAATTATTATGTAAATGAATTATTATATATATATACTCTTATATTTTTCCCACTTTCAACCCAATTTATAAAAAAAAAAATTAACTGGAATATTAATTATGAAAGATGATAGTTATTGTGTTATTGTGTGTTAGTGGATGCTTACCATCTCGCACATGATCAACACCACTGTACATGTGAATATAATAGATGAATAGTGATTCGGTAAAAAAAATCAAAGACTTATGTTTCAAATACCATGAAAAGTTATTAATTTTTTTTAAAAAAAAAAAAAAAAAAGTAATGGTAGGCCATCACATGCAACAGTTTTTGATAAAATCACACAATATAAAATCACATCCAAAGAACAAAATATCCTCACAAAGAAAAAAAAAATCAGACAATTCAAGAAATGGGTATTGATAAGAATACAAACACAATTCTAGATCTTCAATTTGCACAAAAAAATGATAAAATAATAATAATAATTAAAAGGAAAAAAAAAAAAGGAAAAAGAAACAGGATGAATCAATGAATGAATAGGAAACTGGTACAAACATCCATCCAAACAATGGTGTTATAGAGATGGAGGCCAATAGATTTGCTCCAAATGACCGTTGTTTCTCTCTGATTGGTGAGTCCGATTGCCTTAAGTCCACCGTCAACATTGTGCCCATCTACAGTGGCTTTGTCAATTGCCTTGCTCATACAAATCTTCACTCTCCATAATCTCCATCGGATCGTGCTCTACCCATCTGCAGATTCACAAACAAAACAACAATAAAAAACAGAGCAATCACAGAGAGAGATAGATACATAGAGAGAGAGAAAGAGAGAGAGAGTTCTTCATACCCTGCTTGTGGGTAGAACTGGCGTGGAGATGACTGGAGGAAGTGGCACAGGTGATGATTGGATGAGGTGATGAGCAGCACCATGGCTAAGGGTGGGTTTTTTGAAAATTGAAAATTTGGTGTGAGACTAAAAGAAAAAAAGAGAAGAGTTTATAGAGAGAGTTCGATAAGCGCGGGCCTCTTTTTTGTAGGGAGTGGATGGGTGTGTTTCGAAATTTAAAAAGTGGATAGGTGAGGTGCGACAGATAAGGATGGGTGGTTGCAAAGTTTGTGGCTCTTGGGCGGGAAATTCAGGTAGAGTGAGACAGAAGATTTTCGTCTAAGCTATCCATCTAAATATATAAATGAATCAGGACCATTAAAATGTCCTAGTAGGACAATTGTCTCTAACATATTTTCAAAAACCTTTGTGCCTTATTAAATAGATATAACAATATAGTCATTTAAAAAAATAAAAATAAAAAAGCTAAAGCAAAAACATTGCCAATACAAAAATCATAAACAACCATAGCAGCTATATTACTAAGAGATTTCAATATCTTCTCCACCGTATATGACATTAACATATGTTTCAATCATTTTGTCAATTTTTCTGATACATGTTTTAAATATTATTCATTTTTTTATTGTGGATGTTAACCCATGTAATATTAAGAGGCTTCTTAAATATGCCTTGCATAGGGTATGTAAGGCATATCTATTTTGATATGTGTGTATATATATATATATATATTGTTTTAGTTACACAGGTCATGTTTGATTGGGTGGATTAGAGTATGGGATTGAGATTATTAATCCGTGGGTCCAATTATCCTATGTTTGTTTTAACATTTTGGTTTAGAATTATTAATCCAATAGATAATTAATCCAACAAATTTGTACGATTATTAGTAATGGGGTAGGGGTAGGATTATTAATCCAATGGATATTAATCCAATTGGATAGTGAATACCACACTAATTTAATAGGATTATTAATGCTTCACTATTAATTTTGTGAATCAAACATGACCACAATGTTGTGTTTTATATTATACATTGTTGACTGCTAATCAGGTTAACTTACTGGTAAATCATATTACAATAATAGATTATATTATATACACGTAATTATTCTCACAAAAATGCGTAACTAATACAAATTCAAGTAAGTTATCTCATAAAAGTTTTGAACAATACAAAATCACTTAGGTGGTGTTTGGCAAGTTGGGTTGGGGCTAAAATAGCCACAAAAGACAAAACAGACTATTTTAGCCACAACAAACAAAACATCACATCCAACCCATAATCATTACACTCTTCTCTCACAAAAAAAATCAAAAAAGCCAAAAAGCCAAAAAGCCCTTCCCAAACCAAACTTTTTAGCCCAGGCTAAAATAGCCAAAAAAGCCAAAAAGCCAAAAAGCCAAAAAGCCAAAAAGCCAACCCACTTCCCAAACGGAGGCTTAAGTTTTCATAAACTCATGTAAGTGATTTTATAAAAATGCGAAGTAACATAGATTTGAGTAAGTCATCTCATAAAATTTTGAACAATACAATATCAAATAAGTTTTCACAAACTCACATAAGTGATCTCACTTATATGCATATTTTTTATTAAAAAAATGCTAACAATTATAAGAAATTGGAATAAATTGAGATAAATCCGTAAATTTTAGAGTTAAAATCAAGTCAACTGAAATTATAGGGACTAAAATGACAGAAAGACCAAATCATGTCCTCTTGAAGTTTTCAATTTCATAATAAACAGTTCATTTTATTAATAAATTATCAAGTCAATTAACACTTTTTGATGATATTAGAAATTTATTTTAATTAAAAATTCAAGTAATTTTATCATTATATAAAATAGTAGTTAAAAATTTTATTTTTTTCAATTAATTTATATAAGGCCGTTGATCAATTTTGTACATGTGGCCAGTAGAGTTAAAAAAACATGTTATATTGCGTTTAATTTTTTTTTTTTCTGTGCATTTTAAAAAAATTTGGGAGTATATTGGTATTTTTTGTTTTTTAAAAAAATGCCACTAGATAGTTTGAAAAGATTTTGACTTAGTGACATTTTACAAAATACCATAGAAATTTATTTAATTATAACAACTTTCACTTAATAGTTAATACCATAAAAAAGCTACTTACACCTACCTAATTTAGTGTCATTTTTTAAAAAGAAAAAAGTTAGCGATCATGAAAAATTTTTCGTGAAAATATGATCATTGGATTACTTTAATTAGTGTGTGGTACTTTATTCTAAGTGTAATTTAAAGATCACAAAACTTTCATAATTATTTTCATGAAATATTTTTCATAATACCTAATACTACTGTTTTAAAAAAATATCATTACTATTTAAGTTTAGGGGCATGTGATTAATGTCATTACACCGCTACCACTTGTCGCTTTTTGCGTAACCAACAAGCCAATGCCCAATTGGCAATGTGGACCCAGTTTTGGGCTTGGGGTTGCGTTGCATTTGCAGGTGTTGTTGCTCAGCTCAAAACAACTCTACAAAGATAAGCTAGTATTTCTCTCTCTGCTTTCTCTGTCTTCGAAAACCTTCTTATCCACCCCCAAATATTTTTTTTTTTATTCTTTAAATTGCACTAATTTTCTAATAATTTTTTTTTTTTTTTTTTTTTTTATCTATTTGGGCCTCATTTGAAAACAAATTATTTTAGTAATTTTTGATTTTTTGACTAAATTATGAGAGAAAAAAAACTTATATGTTTAAAATAACTTTTTAATTTTTTACGAAAAAATATGTAAAAAGTTAAGAGAAAAGAGAATTTTTGATGGTTCAAATTATAAAATTATCTTTTTGCATGTTGGATTTACACCATTACCGATTGTCTTCAATTTGACCATATCAACTGAGGTCGGAAATTTGAATGCCTAAATAGTTTTAATTAATAGTTTACGGATTAAATAATAAAAAAAAATGACAATGGTTTAGAAATAAAGGTAAAATTAACCAAAATTAAATTAAATTGAGGCAAATGATTGTGACACAAGTATTGTGCATAGAATCCATACTTCTGGATTATTATTAGTTGTCCTGTATTGAGGATGGGCAAATCTGAAGTGAATTCAGTTATCTGCCAGAACTTGTAAATTGGCCTTGAGCATGGCCATTCCCAGTCGCTGAATTTTGACAACCATGTCTTTATTCAGGTACTCTAATTCAAAACTGAGAACAACCTCATTTTTCAAAGGGAATTGAAGGAAACTTGATAATTGCAGTTTTTTTTTTGAAGTCTAGCCAAAAGATGGTTGAGATTTTGCAGCATTCAGTGGGAATTATTCACAGAAATCGTGCTGAGCATATAACTACTTTAACCAAAGTGAGTGTGGATAAACAATCAAAGGGCAATTCCGATTCTGATGTGCAGCCAACACCTATGGAAAGCCTCACTTTATGTGTTGAAGGAAACATCAGTGTTCGGAAGACGACTTTCCTCGGGAAAATAACTAATGAAACACTTGAGCTGCAAGATCTTGTCGAGATTGTTCCTGAGCTTATTAACAACTGGCAAGATGTTGGACCCGATCACTTTAATATATTGGTTCCTTATACGCTGAGCCACAAAAGCATGCATATGCCTTCCAAGACTCTCTGTTTGTTACTAGTGTCAGAGGGAGTCGTATAGTGGAATAAAGCTCCTCAAGTCAGTAATCTTTAATTTCATGTAATGTCTCTTCCAACATACATATTTTTGAATTTTGATTATTTGTAGCATATGACAAGGCATATTTGGCTCAATCAAGATCGCCAAAAACACCCATATCAAGATTCTGTTTTGACATATTTTTCTATGTTCCCACGGCAATAGAGCTTGTATTACCTGTTAGCTTAGCTCTCACATGTATATATATATATCCTAGTGGGACACTTGGTGCTAGTTGTAGTAGTGCATGAGTCTATGTTACACAGAGTTACCATGATTGAAAGGCAAATTACAATAATATCAAGCAATGCTACAAAGCAAATAATTTTTGATACATGGACATGCAATTTCCAGGAAAAGTCAAGATACAACAAAATGATATTTTTAATTTAACAGGGATAAATATTGGTAATCCCAAGCACACAATCTTAGTTGGAAACAAAACATCCCACATGAATATGTGTTTGATATAACACAATCTAACCAAAGGAGAAAAGTGACAGCTACTTATTCAAGCAATAGATTGAAATATTGCTAAGGCAACAATAACATAGAGCCACCACCTGTATTCTACTGGCTGTTGAAGTAGCATGTTGTTGAGGTAGCCATTATTGGAGGACCTTGGATGCGAAAAAAAAAAAAAAAAAAAAAAAGAGAAGGGGAAAAAGGAAAAGAAAAGAGAAGTGCTTAATTCCACTCACTCATCTTTGTTGCATGAATAGATTATAATAAAAAAAGAAAGAAAAAGAAAATGAGAAATTGAAATTGTGACGTTTCAATGAGGGAAAGATGTATTTAGGTAGAGTAACGCTATACGTAAACAGATTTCTCACAAAATTTTCTTATTACTAGATGCAAAGCTAGTGAGGTCTACATTAATAAATATATGAGAAACTCATGTCGTTGTCTAGTTGTAAGAAAATCATATAAAAAATTTGTTTGTGTATAACATTTTCATTTTGGTATGCATAGGCATAGGTCAAGAGGGTATGATACACACCTTTGCCCTTTATGTTGCGAAATCTCTTCCAACTTCCTAGCCTTGGTTCAACCCTTCATTCATATATGTATTTTTTATCTTACGCAATTCGTTAATAACACTTTTTGTTTCCATTTGATCTCTTGGCAATTCCATTGAACATCCAACCCCAATTCTCATAATGGCAAACATGCAATCCCTGATCCAACTACTTGTGTTGTGCTTCAAAAGGATGTAGGGATCCACAATCTCCATTACTCAGTCAAGTAAAGCTTCCTTAACGAAGTTATGAAGATTTAGACGATCCTTAAACATATTGTCAATAGGTCTCTTATCTATAAACATCTCCAGTAAAAGAATCCCAAAGCTATATACATCCCCTAGTGTGGAAGCCATGGTGAACACGCTGTACAATTCCAATAGAAAATGCCTATCATTCATTGAATGAAAATTTGAAATAATTTAAATGATATGTGATGGCCTTTCGTATCTCTTAGCAACAATATTGTGAGTGTGATAGTCTAAGATCATTATCGTTTAATTGTATTTTTTATTGAAGCTAACAGAAAACTAGACTTGCATGAAAATTTTAGTCAAATGCCAAGTGACAGAGAAAATTAATCCAAGTTGTTACAAATTCTTTTTGTCATGTTATGATGTCCTGTGTGATCTGAGTGTGCGCAAGTACGATTGTATATTTGTCATAATGGGTGTTGAAAGATAATAAAGGAGTGAATTTTGAAGCTCCCAAAGTGAAACTCTGCTTTTTTCCAGCTTTGGAAAGAAAGTACAAATGATGAATCCAAAGCAATTAGTGTATATACACTCGTCAGCAGAGCCTAGGATCATAGACAATCTAATATAGGAAACCATGCTTAGTTTAATTGTCCTAATGCAAGTTCAACTTTTTTCATTCTACGGAAATTGTAAAGATTTTGTACTTGGAGCAGCATAGCCTATGGTTCCCCATATTGCAATTGAATCACTTTGACTTTGTGATACATCATTTGAAGATGCAGAAATAATTTTTGCTTACCCAAAATCTCCAACATAGGTTGTTATCTCATCACCAAGACGAATGTTACTTGGCTTAAGATCACCATGAATAATTGTTGACCCACAACCACAATAAAGATAAGTGCACAAGCAATATCAATGGAAATGTCCAGTCTCTATCAATTTAAGTTTTTTGAGTTCTTGATGTTTTTGTTCTGCAACTCCATATGGGTGCGGCCATTTATGTAAGCTTCCTATTACCATGGAAAGAGATTTCAATGTCTTATAGGTCTTAGTGCTTTGCATTCTGACATGAAACTCTTAAAAGCTCCTCTAAGTTGAAGATTGAGCACTTTCACCGCAATTGTCATCTGACCATGATTAAGAATACCTTTATAAACAGAAGCATAGCTTCCAATACTAATTAGATTAGCCTATGAGTATCCATTGGTAGCTTTGAGAAGCTCTGCATAAGAAACCCTCAAAATGTTGTTTTTGAATGATGGCATGGAAGGTGTCTTCTTTTTCAGGACACGTCCTCGTTGGAGAAATATAAAGAAGACAACTAACAAAGTTGCACATATCACAAGAGCAATCACCACAATATCACTTTCATCTTGTAAGATAACTTATTCTCATTTGACTATGAGGGCGGGCAAGGGGGAAGGTTCAATTCTGCAATAACTCCACATAGATCATTATTTCCAACAATTCAAATCACACTCGCATTTCAAAACATTTCTTGTGTTGAAACTGGCCAATGTAGAAAATTAAAAGAAACATTCAACTTTTCCAATTGAAGCTCACCTTGATAACTTGGGATCAACTTCGATAAATTGTTGCAGGAGAGGTCCGACTCTCGTAAAGCCCTTAGCTCTCTCAAAATTTGAGTTATTTGGACTTCAAATGAATACCTGCCCAAGTAAAGATATTCCAAGCTCAAACAATTGCTCAGAGAGTTTGGTATTCTTCCTGACAACCTATTATTGGATACATCCAACTTCTTGAGATTTTTCAAAGACCCAACTTCTGACAGAAGAGAATCCATCAATGAATTGTGAGCTAAACAAATGTTGTGTTTGGTTGGATGATTTGGGAAGTGATTTGGAAAGGGAAAAGAAAAAGATAGGTGAAATGTGAATAAAATATATCTACATTTCACCTAATTTAACACACCTTTTTCCTTTTCATTTCCAAATCCCTTCCTAAATCCCCCAACCAAACACATCATAAAAGATTTTGAATGGAAGAGAGATTCATAATTTCAGGTGGTATTGAACTGCAGAGGTTATTATGTGAAAAATTTAATTCTAACAAGTTACGACAATTGCCAAGATTTGGAGGTAGGCTTCCATGGATAGTGTTTTGTCCCAATGAGAGAATATTCAATGATGTTAAACTACAAAGTGAAGAAGGTAGTCCTGTGAAATTGTTCCCTTGTAAATACAACCCTTGCAATTTAGACAGCTTTCCAATATCAATGGGAATAGGGTCAGTAAGATAACTCATTACTATATCAAAGACAGTAAGGTTAGGGAGGTTCCCAATTCCTGAAGGAATTCTTCCATGGAATTGATTTCCCCCTATAGAGATGTAGCTAATATGGGTGGAGAGATTGGCTATGAAGTCAGGCAATGAACCTTTGAGAAGATTGTCATCAGCAACAATATATTCTAAGCTGGTGCAGTTTGTTAAAGATGAGATAAAAGTAGTCCGGTCATCTTGTACTTTATTATAGCTAAATTGCACATCGTGAAGATGTAAAAGTTTTCTAAGATCTTTTGGTATTGGCCTGGTGAACTCATTAACATTCAAGGTGACATTGTGGGTGTTTGGGAAGTTGTTATTTTAGTAGGCTATTTTAATTTTTGGTTATTTTAAGAGGCTAAAATTTTTGTGTTTGGGAAGATAGTTGAATTTTTTTTTAGTTAGATATGATGTTTGTGAGATAAAAAGTGAAATGATTATGGGTTTGATGTGATATTTTGTCTTATTGACTATTTTAACTTATTTTGTCTTTTAGTGCTATTTTAGCCCAAAAAAATCAAAATAAAATTGCTTCCCAAACACCCCCATTATTGGTCCATGGAATATCATATGCAAGGAGGGTTAACTACTTTAAAAATGAAAGGTGTTTTCTAAAGTTAAAATTATAGCGATCACTTGATAGATAAATAAAGAAAATTTTCATCCCCTTCCAGGGGCTAATTCTTTTGCCTACTAATCCAAGAAAATTGCTCAAATGGCTGCATTTGAAATATAATTTATTGAGCAAAAAGAATAGGAGCAGAACATAAACAATGTGGATGGATGGATTTTTTGGCAAGCTTAAAGAACACTACCAGCTGGATGATGTAATGTTAAACCCCTTTTGTTTTCCCCCGATAAACGAGATTATATTAAGAGAAGGTTCAAAAGAGATGCCACCAAATACAAAGGAAGAATGAGCAAAACTAAGCGGCTCTACAATGTATATATGTAAACCGCTTTCATAACATATATTCTGAAAAACACTAAAAACTAATTGGATAAAAAAAAAAAATTAATGAAAAAATGAAAAAGCACTCATCATTTTCATATGACTATCTTTTGGAGTAATTTTTACCAAACTAGTTTCTAGTATTTTTCAGAAAACAGATTCTAATAACAAAACCAAACACTAAACTAGGTTTTAGTCTTCTGAATAGATTCAAGTATACATTGTATTCAAGTATTAAATTCATGTATAAATTAAATAAAAATCTATTCTTCAACTTGAAAATCGGCTCCTCTTTACCCTCAAAAGATCTACAATTCAGCTAACGATCCATGTAAATTCAAAAACAGTCATTAGAGCACAATCAGCCTATGCCCAAATTCATCCAATGACTTCACATATTGTTAAAACTACACCTACTCCACCTACTCCACTACACCTACTCTCCACCCACATCTCCTATATCTCCTATATAAAGGAGACCAACCATGTACAACATATAAAACATCAATACACAATTTATTCTCTCTCTTTCTCTATACATTAATTCTAACATTGTATTAGAGCCAAGTTAAGAACTTAGTATTTTTCGCTTCACCGGCGGGCGGCAACCTCACCTTAGCCGCCCGCCGGACCTCAACCAATTGAAACCTCCATCAACTCCAGCAAGAGGCTCACAGAAAATGAACCAACTACGTTGTCTTCGTCATCTTCACCTCTCTCTGCGTCTCTATCTCTCTCTAGTTATCACTTTCTCTCTCTAGAAATCTTTGTTTCTTCTGTGGAATTAGGGCTTGGTTGAAACTTTGACGGATGTTTCAATTGGTATACAATGGCTTCTCAGGCGCATCTAGACAAAATGACGGTTCGTCAAAACTATCGAAACCTCTGGCACACTGATCTCATGAGATCCATCACTGCTGCTGATAAAAAAAAAATGAGATCCATCACTGCCGATCCTGCTTATTGCTGTTTCTCGGCGCTCTGTGCTCCCTGTGTATCTTACATGCTCCGCAAACGAGCTCTTTATGGTGACATGTCAAGGTACACATGCTGTGGTGGCTATATGCCTTGCAGTGGTCGGTGTGGAGAAAGTCAATGCCCAGAACTTTGTCTTTGCACCGAGGTTTTCCTTTGCTTTGCAAATTCAGTTGCATCAACACGCTTCATGTTGCAAGATGAGTTCAACATACAGACCACCCAGTGCGATAATTGCATTATTGGATTCATGTTCTGCCTACAACAGTTAGCCTGTATATTTTCCATTGTTGCTTGTGTTACTGGAATGGAAGAACTTCAAGAGGCTTCTCAGATACTGTCCTGTTTGGCAGATATGGTTTATTGCACGGTTTGTGCTTGTATGCAGACACAACACAAGGTTGAGATGGACAAAAGAGATGGCAAGTTTGGACCACAACCGGCAATGGCAATACCTCCTGTTCAACATATGTCGCGTATAGATCAGCCATTTCCTCCCTCAGTCGGATACCCACCTCAACAACCATATGGCCATCATCCACCACCTTTTGCACACACCCATACTCCTTTTTATTTTTAAACCAATCTTCACCTTTTTCTTTTCATCCACTTTACACCACCAAACACTTTACACCCATTCTCTCTCTCAATCCGGAAAACAGATTTTCTCTCTCTCACTTTACTTTTTCCACCACCCACAAAACATTATCATCACCATTCCACCAATACTAATATATATATATATATGTCTCTTTTTATTCCATCACACTAAACTTATTGGGCCACCTGTCCACCCACGTTGGCTCCACTTTTCATTTTCATTTTTCCGTTTCACATACTCACAAAAAAAAAAAAAAAAAAACCTTTCTCCTATTTTTTTTTAATTTTTTAACATCTTCACTAAAAGATTGAGTTGTCAAATAAAACCTTTAAAAAAAAAAAAGAAAAAAAAAGCATCACTGCGAAAAAATGTGAAGCAGTGCAAGATTGGAATCCGACAACCACATCCGTGAATTGGAAACGGCTACTAATTTGGGGCCCAACTTGCCTGCACTTCTTATAAAAAAAACATTCTGGTGTTTGGAAAGTGAGTTTTTTTTTACATTTTTTTAGTTGTAAAATATATTTTGAGAAAATTTTTTTTTTGTGTTTAGGAAGATAGTTGAGGTTTTTTTTTTATTGGATATGATGTTTGTGATAGAAAAAGTAAAATGATTATGAGATTTGATGTGATATTTTATTTGAATTTATTTCTTTTGGTTTTGTAACCAATTTGTCTTTTAGTAAAAAAAAAATAAATAAATCAAAAAATCAAAAAACTTCCTTCCCAAACACCGCCAATTGTATCATTGGGATAGAAAATAAAAAATAAATAATAAATAAATAAATAAACAAATAAATAAATTAGGATAAATTACTGGCACCCTCTTATGTTTAATCCAATTATATCTTACTCTTTGATGTTTTAAAAATTATATTTTTACCCATATGATTAATAGTCTCATTTTACAAATCTCCTACTTATATAAAAGGCAACAATTTTTAATAGAAAAAATAGATGAAATTATATATATTTTTTTTAAATAAAGCAAAAGAAAGGGGGGGGGGAAAAGTAAAGCAAAACAAAATAAGAAAAGAGAGAGAGTGCATAAATTCACTGTCTTCATTCAATTTAAATAATTACAATGACAAAGGCTTAGTGTGATTTCCCAAACGTCAATGGACGATATGTATTAAATCCAAATTTCAGGGGTGTGAGTATAATTTACGAAAAAAATTATAAAAATATTGGAGGTGCAAATAATCTAATGAAGTGCAACTGAAAACCTACGGAGTACAAGTCTTACTTGCACCCCTTTATGTATAAGTTTTTTTATTTTTATTTAACAATTCACATTCTAACGTGGGTTACATAATGATGTTAAACCTTTGCATTCATGTCGTAGATTCTAAACGACCTTGGGTCCATACGTAATACAACAGAAATCTTGGATTCACACAGATACATTGTTCAAGGATGAACATAAGTTCCATTAATTCTTTAAGAAGAAGTAACGTAGTATGCTGATGAATAACAGAGAGTTAATATTCGTTATTGACAGAACAAAAGGATTCCAAAGTCATACCAATGTACGCAAATCTTTCAACGTTCATACAAGTTCACATTGATTTCCAATCGTCCTAAATGTTCGTGTAACACTTACGAAGAACAGAGCGTTAGTGACAATAATTATCAACGGTAAATAAAATATACATTTCCATACTACTACTCACAGAGTGATGGCGGAGCATTACTTCCTCACGGGGTATGTCCTGTACACATATATAACTTATTCATTAGTTCTCTCTTTCCTTCTTAATTCATTTTTTGGTTCATTTCACTTTGAATGAATTTACAGATACTAAAATGGCATTAAATACAAATTTTACAAATACTAGAGAGTCAAGCACATAAAATGGGGCAAACAAATTTTTCTGGCATGGGCCGCACGTGCGGGTGTGAGCCCCGCATGTGCGGCAGTTGGTCCCGCACGTGCGGCAGTGATGCCCGCACGTGCCTTTTAGACAGTAACAAAGTCCCAAATTTTTGCCATTTGCCGCACGTGCGGCAGTGACCCCCGCATGTGCGGCGATTCTGCCCAGCCAGATCCGAAAATTCAAGCAAAACCTCAACTTTTGGTGAACATTAACAAGGCTCAAATTCGCTTCCTTAATTGATAGAACATGGTCTAAAACTCATGTTAATAGGATCACACTCATCAATATAGATATAAACTAACTCTTTCATTCTTCAATATAACTTAATTTTCTTTTGCATTCAACATCACATATATATATTAGGTAAGTTCTTCATGATCCTCATGAGAAAGTAAGGAATAAAAGATAGTTTCTCCACATGTGTGCATAATCAACTTAGTTCAAAATCATCCAATTGATAAAACATGATCCAAGTCTAGCAATAATTACACCTGAGGTTCAATTCCAAGTCCTAGGTTACACAATTATGACGGAATTACACTCAAATTCAAGAGAGGAGCTAGAGGAGATAAATAAACTTACTTGTGAGCTTAGATCTTTCAAATTCTCTCTAGGTTATTTAATCTTTAATCTTTGTTGAAGTTCCCTTCTAGCTTTTCTCTCTACTTCCTCTATCCTCTCCTAGGAAATTTGTACGCTAGGTTTTCTTAAGTCAAATGGTTAAGAAAACACACACACACACACACACACACACACACACACATATATATATATATATATATATATCTCCCTCATTCTCACTCTCTGATATACAAGTATTTAGTAGGCAAAAACCAATATACCACGACTAAAACAAACTTTAGTAGCAGAAACCATGAACTAATGTTGACTAAAACAATTTTTAAAAGGGTCACGCTCGAGCATCAAAACTCCCGCTCGAGCGTACTAAGACCTGCAGAGAAAAATACTCGGAGATGGAAATTTATGCTCGAGCGTCAAAACTCCCGCTCGAGCGGAGAAGCAACAACAAAGGGCCCGCTCGAGCGTCAAAAGCCCCGCTCGAGCGTGAAGGCCAAAATCTGGGCAACAACCTTTGGTTTCTAAACACAACCAACCTGTTCCAAACTTGCCCAACACAACTCAAAACTCAAATACACAGAGTAAAGGATGGAAATGCAACACAGACAACAACCATCAACCACGGAACCGAGTCCGGAATAAAAACAAAAAAAGAAAAAAGGGAAAAACCGGGATCGCTATATTTTATTAGTATATGATGAAAAACGTCATTAATTATCACATGATCTATTGAATAATAAGTTTACCTATTAGATCTATATGTAAATCTTCCTAAATTAAATAGATTGTGATTATTAAATCAATCTGATTTTTTTTATATATAATATATATAGAGACCTTTATAAAATTATCCAGATCAACAAAATACGACAAACAATAAACCTCACTAACAAACTCCACAAACCAGGTCAACGCCCTCCACGGACCGGGGCAACGCCCTCTAGTCGATTGGAGGAACCAACTCCAATAGAAATATAGCATGCACACATCAAAGATAATTTATATGAGTTGACTAATTATGCTAATGTGACATTCTTATAATTAGAACTTATTTAAATATATACATTATTTTAAGATCATAACTTCAAGGGCTATGCTATGGTACAAATTATGATATTTGTGGTGTGATAACTAGATACTCTTTAGTCATTTCAAAAATAAAAAAATAATTATAATCAAACACATGAACGTATAACCAAAGACTTTTCAATCATAATTAAATTAATATAATAACGAATATGTGTCATAACTAACACTACAATATGTATAATCATGTGATAATTAAGTTATAACAAATACCACAATAAATTATAATTAAAGACTATAGCGATTGTAACTAAGGCATATGATATACCATTATGTATATTTTTTTATTTATATATCAGTCAATCAGAAAAAGGGAGAATTATAGTACAGTGAGATAGAGAGAAAAAAAATTGCAAAAACATGTGAGGTACAAGTGATTCTATTGTGGGAGTGTAACTTACACCTCTTCATATTTATGTAAAAAAAAATTTTCTATACCACTGAGATATAATTTATCCAAATATATATATGTTTGATAACTAGGGTACCCTATTAGTTGGCGTCAATGGCTTTGCACAAGCAACTTATGTGGACAATGCATGTATTTGGAAAAACATTAATGATATATAAATAAAAAATTTATATAGAAATTTTATATTTAATAATATAATTTAGGGCACTCGGTCCAAAAGTCTAAATTACAATTTTATTTAGCTAAAGTTTTAAGGTCTGAAACATTTTGTCCAAAAGGACTAATTCAAACACAATGAGAAAAATACTATATATATATATATATATATAATTCTTATATTTTAACTCATTCAATTAGAGAATTCTATTATACACACTCCATAGTTATGACTTAAAAACTAGGAAATTAGCCATTTTCTACCATAGTCTTTCCCCCTTCAATTGTAAAAAACATACTGAACTCAATTTTCTGGTAATTGAGTTTTTGTTTTTCTTTTGTTTTGTTTTTAATGATTTTTTTTTAGTATTTTAAGAAGTTTTTATTTATTTATTTTTTAGATGCACATAATCTAAATATATCTATAAAGTAAAATATTTGTAAAAAAAGATTTTAAAAAATCAATAAATACGCAAGAATACAAAAATGTATTGAATTTTTATTTTTTTTCTTCTTCATATTTTTGGTATTTAGTGAATTTTTTAAAGATTTTTTTTTCACAAATAGTATACTTTTTTATTGTATTTATATTAAGTGTACCTAAAAAATAAATTTTTCAAAAAATATTAAAAAAATTCCCTAAAAACAAAAAAAAATAAAAAAAATAAAAAACTCAATTTAAAAAAAAAACTGAATTCATAAAATTGGAACCAAACAAAATTGACTATCTTCATAAAGGATACATTTGTATGATTTTTATAATTCAAGGACTAATATGTACAGATTAAAAAATGAAGAGGGTAAAATGATATTTAATAATAATTGAGAGGGTCTTGATATAATTATACTATTTACGATTCACTTCACAATTCTTTTTGGGATTCATTTATGATGCGATTCGAATTTATTTATTGCTATTTTAGTAAGATAAACATAATTTAAATTCAATATTATGAGTCAAGTTGGTTAAATACAATCAGTGTGTTTGGTTTCAGTTTTCTGAATTCAAATTTTTGAAAATTAATTTTTTGGTTTTTCGTATTTTTTTGTTTTTAGTGAATATTTTTATAATTTTATGTAATTTTTTTTTTTACTTTTTTAGATTCACCTTACTTAGATGTATCTAAAATACTAAACTATTTGTAAAAAAATATTTTAAAAAATTAATAAATAGAAAAAAATACAAAAATGTACTGAATTTTTATTTTTTATTTTTTGGTATTTAGTGTATTTTTTAAAAAAAATTTCACAAATATTATACTTTTTAAGTGTATTTATGTTAGGTGTGTCTAAAATTTTTAAAAAAAGTACTTAAATATTTTAAAAATTCATTGAAAACATTAAAATACAAAAAATAAAAAAATAAAATTTTTTGAAAAATATTTTCTAAAAACTGAAACCAAACAAGCTAATAATAGTTTCACATTTTTTTTTTTTTTAAACTTTCCTTCAACGATAAACATACAAAATCTTTATGGTAATACCAAGGATAAATTACCCTTTGCCCTCTTTTACGTTTGATCACTTTTTTATTCTAATCCTTAAAGTTTTTATTTATTTTTATTTATCTTTTTTTTTAATCTTTTTAATTTTTTAATTTTGGCCTTTATATTTCAAGTTTTTTTCTAGTTTATTCCTACAACTAATTTATGTTCAAAATTAGACAGAAAATGTAATAATAACTGTCATATAATATAAAAAGTGTATTAGTATTATATTAGAGTTTAAGTTTATGTTAGAGATGTGAGTTATATATAATAAAATATTTTTATACTACATAACTGTTAATGTGTCATTTTCTTTCTAATTTTTAATAGAAATTAACTTAGGAGTAAACTAGCAAAAATTTGAAACATGAAGGGTCAAAATAAAGTGAGAAAGTGATCAAACATAAAAGGGTAAAGTATAATTTACTCGTAATACTAACCATTTGTGAGTTTGATTATCACAAATGACATAAGTAAATGTGTATCACAAATGTGTATCAGTTATACTATGAGTCATAACTAATCAAAATAAGTGTCATTTTGGGAATATAGTAAAAAGCCACGTTTTTGGATAAAATGTCCAAAAACGTGGCTGCCAAAAACGCAACAAAATCCCTTTAGGAAGTGCCAAAAACGCAGCCCTAAAATTACAAATTATGGCCTATGAAAAAAAAATAAAAAAATAAATCTCTTATGTTGGGTAAGGGTATTTTGGTCATTCTAATTTGATTTGACACCATAAATAAACATTAAACTACAAAGCAAAAAGTCAACTTTTTACCAACTTCTCAAATACTTCCAAAAAAGCCAAAAAGCTTGGTAAAAAGCCAAAAGTCAACTTTTACCAACTTCCCAAAACAAGTTATTATCAAATATCACATGAGTTATAACCAAACAACTCTTTTATCATAACTAAAAGAATGTCATAACTGATAAGACAGTAAGTCATAACTAAAGACATAAAAGTCATAATTAGAAGTGCATATGGTACAAACTCATAAAATTTTCCAAAATTTTAAAGCGTTTTAAATTTTAAAATAAAAAATTTATTTAATTTTTTATTCTTATTATATTCTATATATGGCTTTTAGAATTATTTTTTGAATGTCAAGTGAGATTATATATTGCTTTTTGAATAATTTTATGGTGGGTGGGATTTGGACTTAAATTTATATTATGCTTTTTGACTTAGATATTACTGTGCCCTTAAATTTATTGGGTAAATTATATTTTCTATCTTTCAAATTATCATTCGAATTTTATTTTAGTCATTTATCTTTTACTTACTAATTAAGATTTTAAACTTCAACCGTTATTTCAATGTAATCTTTCCATCATTCATAGTTAAAAAAATGGTCAAAAAGTGCACAAGGGTTGGTCACATAAGTACATTTTTAGGGCATTAAAGGAAACAAATATGAAAAAATTTAGACATTAAATCTATAACTTTGACTTAAATTTCACCTTGGCTATTCATATTTCAATTTTTTCTCAAATTTTAAATGATGAGATGACGGAAAGACTATGTTAAAACTCGGATTGAAATCTCACAGTTTAATTGTTACAATTAAAAAGTTGATAAACCAAAATAAAATTAAGGTAAAAGTTGAAGGGTGGAAACAGTAAATTATCCAAGTTTTTATTTTATTTTTGGAACCTTATTAGTAAATACTTGAATATCAAACAAGCAAAGAAGGTTGATCTCCGATGTCAATTTTGAACGACAATTTAACAATGACTAAAGAGTAAAATCTATGTAGACATGCAATTTCAAGAAAAAGACATACAACAAAATGATAATTTTAAAGGGATACAGATAGTAATTCTAGTCATACAATCTTAGCTGGGGACATTTAAAATGAACTCATTTTTATATAACGCAATCTAACCAAAGGAGAAAAAGCGATAGTTTTTTATTCAAGCAATAGATTAAAGATTGCTGATATGAAGATACTGAAGCCACCACTTGTAGTCTTGTAGAGTAAACCATTATTGGAAGTAACCTGAGCAGCAAAAGGAAAAACATGCTTTGGTTCACTTTAGGAGGGGGGGGGGGGTTGGGGTGGAGTACTCTAGTAGAGTAACAATATATGTAGGGGTGTTTTGGTAGAGTAACAGTATATATAAACAAAAATTTTAGTAACTTTTTTTTACCACTAAACACAAAGTTAATGGAGTCTACATTAATCTATGTTCTTGTGTTTAGTAATAAAAAAAAAAAACCATTATTGTATAGCATTTTCCATTTTGATATGCATATGCATAGCTCAAGCGGGTAAGATGCACACCTTAAGGTTTTCATGTTGCAAAATCTCTTCCTACTTTCCAGTCTTGGTTCAACCCTTCATTCAAGAAAGTATTTTTGATGTCATGCAATTCACTAACAACACTCCCCATTTCCACTCGATCTCTTGGTGATTCCATTGAACATGCAACCCCAATTCTTAGAATGGAAACCATGCAGTCTTTAATCCACCTTGTTGTTTTATGCTCCAATAGGTTGTAGGGATCCACAATCTCCATCACTCGTTCAGGCAAAGCATTCTTAACGAAGATATACAGATTTAAATGATCTTTAAACATATCATCAGTTGGTTTCTTACCTGTAAACATCTCCAATAAAAGAATCCCAAAGCTGTATACATCTCCTAGTGTGGAAGCCATGTCACCCATGCCATACTCTGCAAAATGTTTCTAATGTTAGTGTGAAAGTGAATCTAGTTAGTTGACATAATTGTAATTCCAATAAAAAAATATATTTATTAATTTTTTTAAGACGGTTTTAATGTTGTATGATGGCCTAAATTTCAAGTTTTTTGGTTGGTGCGTGTGTGTGACTGAGTGAGATCATTGTTAAGAACGACGTAGTTAATTATATTTTTCATTGAAGCAAACAGATACTAGTCTTGCATTGGAGAGGTATGTCAAAATCAACTATACAAGTTTCCAAGATTTGATTAAGATTTTGCCAGATGCTTTTTTTGCAAAGTATTATAATAATTCTTTCCACTAGTATATACCATGGACTATTTTGATAAGACTAAACTTTCCTACTAGAATTACATAAAGAAGAATTTTTTTTTTTTCTATAAAAAAAAAAAGAAAGAGAAACACAGGAGGAGGCATAGAGGATTAACTCAAGCTTGCTAACAGTAAGGAGGTGGAAGTACACATTGGGAGCATTAAGAAATGACATAGAATATGTATAAAAAAATTGTTAAAAAATAAGTAGTTGCACACTATTTTATAGAAAGCCATGGTTTTTTGTATGGTTGTTTATGCTGAAATTATTCTACCATGCAATGTGCATATATATGTATGTGTGTATATATATATTACTTTCCCTATTGCAAGTTTAGGTTTTCTACACCAAGGAACTTGAAAAGATTTTGTACCTGGAGCAACATAGCCTATGGTTCCCCTTATTGCAAAGGAATTGCTTTGACCTTGTGCCATGCCACTCGAAACGGTAGAAATAATTTTCACTAACCCGAAATCTCCAATATGGGCTGTCATCTCATCATCCAGAAGAACATTACTCGGCTTTAGATCACCATGAATAATTGTAGACTCACAACCACAATGAAGATAGTCAAGTGCAGAAGCGACATCAATGGAAATGTCCAATCTCTGAATTAGTTTAAGATTTCGGTGTTTTTCTGGCTGCTCATGGTCTCCCACTCCAACTTGATGCAACCATTTATCCAAGTTTCCATTGGCCATAAATTCATATACAAAAGCTTTGAATTCATCACCATTGAAATCCACACTGGAACAAATGCTCAAAATTTTTAATAGATTTCGGTGCCTCATGGCCATAGTTCTAAAAATCGGCCGATACGCTACGTATCGGCCGATACGTATCGGAAAAATGGGGTGCCGCGACGGATACAAGCCGATATACCATTGAGATTAAAAATCACAGGAGTATCGGCCGAGTCCCGGTACGTATCGGCCTGTAAGCGTTACACAAGCCGTTACACAAGCCGCGACGGGCCGATACTCACCGGTTCAGACCGGTACGGGAAAGAAAAAGTTGAAAAACCTTTGAAATGATTTTTAAAATTTCACCACCGCGACACCCGATTCCCGATACGTACCGATCGATACTACCGATACCGATACTCCGCGATCGATACCGTTACGTTACCCGATACCGCGATTTAGAACCTTGCTCATGGCTCTTAGTGCCTTGCATTCTAACATGAAGCTCTTAGAAGCTCCTGTGGTCTGAAGATTGAGCACTTTCACTGCCACAACCATCTGAACTTTATCAAGAATCCCTTTGTAAACTGAAGCATAGCTCCCAACACCAATTAGATTAGCCTCTGAGAATCCATTGGTGGCTTTGAGAAGCTCTGCATAAGAAACCCTCAAAAATTGATGCATGATTTGGGACGTGCTAGAGGTCTTCTGTTTTGAAACATGACACCGTTGAAGAAATATAAAGAAGCTAACAAACAAAGATAAAAATATCACAAGAACAACCACCACTAGGATAACTTTCATCCTGTAAAATAGCTTATTCTTGCTTGGTTTGAAGGATGGACAAGGAGGACGGTCTAATTCTGCAATGCCTCCACATAGATCATTATTTCCAACAATTGAAATTGCACTTGAATTTTCTAACACTCCTTGCATGGGAACTTGTCCATGTAGCATATTAAAAGACAAATTCAACATATCTAATTGAAGCTTACCTAGATAACTTGGGATCAGCCCCGACAAATTGTTGCGTGAAAGATCCAATACTCTTAAGCCCCTCAGCGTGCTCAAACTTTGAGGTATCTCTCCTTCAAATGAATTTGCCTCCAACAGCAGCCGTTCCAGACTCAAACAACTGCTCAGAGTGTTTGGTATGAATCCTGATAATCTATTATAGGACAAATCCATGACTGCAAGATTTTTCAAAGACCCAACTTCTAATGGAAGAGAACCAGTCAGTGCATTGTGATGTAACAAGGCGTATTGAAATGGAGGAGAGATTCATAATTCCAGGGGGTATTGAACCATTGAGATTATTTTTACAAAGGTCCAATTCCAACAAGCTATGACAATTGCCCAAACTCGGAGGTATGCTTCAATGGATGTTGTTTTCTCCCAAGTTGAGAGTAATCAACAAAGTCGAATTACCAAGCAAAGATGGAAGTTCTGTGAATTTGTTCTGGTCTAAGTACAGAGCCTGCAGCTTTTGAAGTCTTCCAATGGAGGACGGAATAGGGCCAGCAAGATTATTTGCTGACATAGATAAGACAGTGAGGTTGAGGAGGTTCCCGATGCCTGAAGGAATGTGTTAAAATAAATGTATTATTGATTGATATTTTGATTGATGTCTATTGATTTGTATGTTACAAGCTATTATATAGGAGAGGTGTGAGGTAAGTGAGTGGTGGTAGTGGATGGTAGTGGAGGTGGTGGGTGGTAGTGGAGATGGTAAGTGTGTTAGGTTTAGTGGAGTGAATGTAGTGGGTTAGGGTAGTGGGTTAGGTTTAGTGTACATTAACAGAATGATTCCGTGTATCTGATTTTTCTGCAAATCTATGCTGCTAAGATATGTGGAGAGATTAGCTATGGAGTTAGGCAATGAACCTCCAAAAAGATTGTCAGCCACTTCAATAAATTGTAAACTGGTGCAATTTGTTAGAGACGAAATAAGAGTGAGGTCATCATGCAACCGATTTTGAGAAACACTTATCCATCGAAGACTCAGAAGTTTTCCAAGATCTCTCGGCATTGTCCCGCTGAAATAATTTTCACCAAATTGTATCGATTCGAGCTTCGAAGCGTCTGACAGTGAAGTAGGAATTGTTCCAGTAAATAAATTGCCGACAAGATTAAGAAACTTGAGATTAGGAAGTGTGGAGCCTATATCAGGAGGAATATTTCCTTCAAGTTGGTTGAAAGCTACTGATAACGAAATGATGGTAGAGATATTGTAAAGGCCAGATGGAACCTTGCCAGATAAGTTATTCCCATATAACACGACAAATCTCAGGCTTCGAAGCCTAGCAATTTCCGCAGGAATCTCCCCATGCAAATTACATTCCGATAAATAGATTTGGAAAAGAGATGAGAGGTTTCCAATGAAAGAAGAGATGGTTCCTGAAAGCTTGTTTTTATTCAAGGCTAAAGTTCGAAGCCTAGACAAAGAGCCCAACTCAGCTGGGATGTTTCCGGTTAGATTGTTGTTGACCAAGTCCAGCCATTCAAGTTTTGAGCAACGAGAAAGGTTGTTTGGTATTCCACCTCGAAACGAATTGTTGCCGAATTCTATTATTTGAAGCCGAGACAAGCGACCCATCTCCTGTGGAATTGGGCCGTGGAAGCTATTGTTTGGAAGACGAATTCTTTCGAGGAAGGAGAGGTTTCCTACATGAGATGAGAGTGATCCAACCAGGCCTTGGGACCTTAGAGTTATCCCAATGACTATCAGGATGTCGGCGACTACACAAAATGCCGTTCCAGAGACAGAAGTGCAGTGAATTATTCCAGGAAGAGAGGGCACTGAATGGGTCTTGAACAATTGCAGCCTTGAAGGCCTCCAATGCTGCTCTATCTGTCTCATTATTTGCCATGATGCATTTTGCTGCAGGGATGTTGAACAACAAGTAGCACCACAACACAAGGGCAGTGTAGAGCACAATAACCAATTTTGCCATGGTTTTTTTTAATGGTGAATCGATTATTTTATCAGGGTGGCTGGTATATATAAAATATTCTAATGTGAAATTTCCTAGCTCTTTAAAGTGTGAATCATTAAAAATAAATAAATAAATTTTGTTGAGACAGAGACACTGAAAGACTTGGGTGAAGGTTGGTGATGGTGGTGGACAGAAAGACCAGTGCATCCCTCTCTATTAAAAAAATTACAAATATCTCATTATCATAATTTTTTATTTAACATAATTAACGGAAAAAATAAAATTTCCAATTACTCTTCTATAAATCAAACCAAATCAACCTATATCACAAGTCCCATCAAATGGAGTCGGTTACATTAATCTTTCTTCTCCACGCGACTTTATCAAATGTCATTTAGTTAGTCAAATTAAAGAAATTTATATTTCTATTTATTACACTAGCCCACATTAATCTAAGTCTGTCATTTCCCGTAATACTTCCTTCTACCGGCATTGTATTGTATATCTTTATGACTACCTCTGTTAGTTTCCGTTATATATGAGCAAAACATCTCAATCTATTTTCTCTTAGTTTATCTTCAATCGACACTACTCCTACCCATTTACAAATATACTTGTTAACACCATAAATCTGCAATTTTTATTATTATTTATTATTTATATAATTGCAGGACACGTGGCATCCTCTTATTCATTTGGAAGTTAAAAGAAGTTATAGAGATAATGGAGAAAATGAAGGACAAAGTGGATGAGTGGAAGGACACATGGCAAGACAAGAATGAAGATGGAAGAAATGGGTAGTTACTAAGTAGTTATTGCTGTATTTTTTCTTCTATAAATAGCCATTAATGGCTACATTGTAAAGGATCCAGAATTCATAATCAAAGACACTTGATTTCAATATTTCTTGTCATTTTCCTTATCTTAGGAGTAGTTTAACATAGATTTATATTTCGAAGCATTTATTTTCAGCATTTCCATTTCGAAGCATTTTATGCACTTTCTTTTCGAAGCATAGGAGTAGAGGTAAGTAATTATTACTTTGATTGTTCACTCAATCATCTTTCTCCGTTCCCCATTCTTCTTTTAATTTTTCTTTTCTTTACACTTGGCAATCTTGAAGTCCTCTTCGTTGAGGCAAAAGAACCGTCAACACAATCGCTTGATAATTGGCTTGAATTTAATCTGTAAGGATTTTTCAATCCTTGCTGGCACGCTCGCATTTATGATATTTTCCTTCGTAGGAAAAATAAGCCAACATTTTAGCCAACAATACTTATTCCCAACTCTGTCTTTTTTAGTCTTGCTACACATCTAATGTAGCATTCTCATCTTAGTAACACTCATCATATCAACATGTTGTTTCTTAATTGCCCAACATTCCGTTCCATACAACATCCTTGGTTTAATAGTCGTTCTATAAAACTTTACATGAATTATTAATTGAAATATATTTATGACATCGTTAAAAAATGTTAATTATTTGATGATTTATTAACAAAAGGGGTCAATTGTTATTCGATTAGAAATTTGAAAGTGTGAAATATAATTTGTAGAATCATAAAAGACAATCTGTATATTAAGAAAACTTCAAAGGATGTATTCATAATTTATCAAAAAACAAAAATTGCTGCGTACCATCATTGATTCAATATTGTAGGTGTTTGGCTCTTGATTCACAGTCTGTTTGTTTTTGCAATTTTTTTTTTTAAAAAATATTTTATGATATTTGGTACAATGAAAAACAAAAATTAGCAAAAAAATATTTTTCATAATTTGTTGAAAGCAAGCTTATTGGGTAGGAAAATATTTTCTACTTTTAAAAGGTTAAAACATATTTTTCAAATTAAAATCTTACTAATGTTATCACTAGTAGATTTCACTCCAGTTGATTTTTTGGAACTAAAATCTTACATAATCAGAATTGGACTGGTTTCCCTCTAGTTGGTTTTCTCTAACCAACTAGAGGGTGTTGTTGGTACTTTGTGGTCCCACCATAGAGCCCACATCAATTCTTTGAATTTTCAATGTGCAGGGTTCGTCGAATAATTCATCTTTGTAAAAAATCAAATTTATCAAATATCGATTGTCACTGTATCAGATTACATGTAATCTGATGCAGTGACAATTGATATTTCGATCTCACTTAATTAAGACATGAGATTTAATTTAATTTGATTATATTGCCAATGATTTGGATGCAGGTTTGTGTTTGGTTATTTTCCTGATAGGATTTTCAAATCATTGGTAATGTAATCAAAATTTAAATTAAATCGGGTGGCATAACATATTGGTTTGCAGTGCACTAAAAATCATACTAAACACAAATCAGAAATAACAATAAACACTGTAAAAAATTTATATGATATACCAAAAAATCAAACCAAATATACCACAAATAAAACTTAGAGAACCGTTGATTTATTTTGACCTTTTTTATTATTAAATTAGATTTTAACGGTTATTGATTTAGATATAATCTTTTTCAATTCATATTAGTTGAAGTTAAAAACTTAAAAATTGCAATAAGAATAAAATAAAACTAATAGAAAAAATGGCGATAATTAAGGGAATCAAATGAAATTATTTTATTTTTATTATTATTTTTTTTTGACAGTGAGGGGGTTGGCGAAGGTGGGAAGGGGTTTGACTCTCTGTATAGTTGTTTTGTTTTGAGCTCCGCGACACCTGTAATACCCTTCTCCCCCAGCTTTCTCAAATTCCTTGATTTCACACCCGGAATTGTCAACAAATAACATCCAACTAATTTATTTCATTAATAATATATTCGGTAGATCTTAGCAAATGAATAGTTTGAATCATTGAAACCAGACCTGTAGTGGTCCCAAGTAACCTAAACACAACGGTGAAGTTTTAATTTAAACTTACATAAGTCTAACCTCTATACGTGACTCCCTTCTAATTCGTAATCTAGACAAGAGGTTGTTTTCTCAGCTCATGTTTTCCACTATCAGCCATGTATACTGTTCATTTTGTCAAGTCATTCATAAAAAATAAAAAATAAAAATAAAAACTAAGTGGGTCCGATATTTGTAAGCTATTGAATTTATTAAATTTGTCACAAAAAAAAAAAAAAAAAAAACAAATGTATTTTTTTAAATAGAACCATCTTTTCCGAATAACTCCACCTTCTCATCTTTAGTTTCTCTAATTCTTCATCATTAGAGGTGGACTTGAGAGAGTAAAATTAGGGAGATGAATCATTATTCTTATATAAACCAAATTACCCATGATTAGCTTGATTAAAACTCGTTTAAGATAAATTCAAATGCTATGTAAGTAAAACTTGAATATATTTTAAAATTCATCAAAATTCTAAATCAAAACTAAATAACCTATTAATTGGCTTGACTCAATTTATTTAACCAAATCAGTTTTTCTTCTTATTTGGGTAGGTCTGAGGATTTGAAAGTCACATGTTTCTTAAAAATCTCAAGAATCCATCTTCCTTCATTTTCAAATACTATGGAAACTTTTTCAACAGTAAGAATGTTGTTTTATTTTACTTTTTATTTATTTATTTGTATATGGATAAATTATTGTTGTAAACTTATTCATTATGTTCAAAAATTGCTTTCAAGGCTCTTAAAAGAGCACTTTAAGAAAGCTTCTACTGATTTGAACTGTTACACATTTGTTGTTAGTTTATGTCAAAATCAACCATTTAGAACCCAAATAATATTTTAGTAACTTTACTCATTTTTGGGACTCTTTTTCCACTAACGTAATTATGGGTTAAATGTCAACAAAAAAAAAAAAAAAAAAAAAAACCAAAAAACAAAAAAGGAAAAAAAAAAAAAAAAAAAAAAAAAAAAACACTAAGGGTCTAAAAAATTTTTTTTTTTTTTTTTTTTTTTTTTTTGGGACCCATAATCAAGTTACTGGAAAGAGAGCCCCAAAATTTTTTTTATTATTTATTTATTTATTTATTCTTTAAATCAGCAAAGAAAAAAAATTTATTAGCGAAAAGGAGATCAATACAAAGAAGGAAAGGGCCGCAGGACAAACTGCATTATTACCAAGAATGAAGTTGGCATCAGGCCAATCATGTGCACTCCGCAGCGAAGGAACAACAACACCAAAAAAACAGAGGAAAAAAACAAGTTGGATTGGAGAGATTCCAATACAACACACCCAGCATCCTTTTGTTAGACTAAATTTAATTATTTAGTTATTTTGGTGATCCATATAATATGGTAATATGAATTATAGATTTAATATGATTATAATTTCATATCTTAAACCATAAGTTATTATCTAATTGGTCAATAAATGGAGTAATTTCCAAGTCTCCCACCTACTTTGATAGACAAGTGGAGTTATAGTTATTTTAGGAAACTAGTTCTCTGCCTACGTATAAAAGTACACTTAGATCACCCATCAATTATTTTGAATATAATATAGTTTAAAGAGGGTCAAGAGAGAGAAACCTTTTTCTACCGATGTTGTTATTACGTTTATGTTCAATCAATTTTAGATCAGTCGAAAGTATCGTATAACTGACCCGAGTATGTTATTTCTTTTCCGCATTATATTATTATTTGTGTAAATCATGATAGTTCACAATTTTGGATTATGAAGGTTGTTACATGCATAACACTATAAAATTATTTATATGTGGTATCAGAACACTGGTTAGAGAATATCATGATTTTTCATTAAATAAAATTAATGATTTTTAATTTATGTCCGTCATTGATTGTTTGTATATTATTATTAGTTGTGAGACATGATTTGAACGTATTAAGATTTAGGAATTGTACTCAAGTTTGATTATGCTTTTATTGTGTGTGTATATATATCTTTTATGAATAATATTTATGAATCTACAATGTATACTTTATGATTACACCTATTATTTTGATGAAGTTATATTCTCCATTGGTTTGTGGAATACTTTTGATTGATGACTCATCCATGATCA